CAGAGCCTGGGTGGCCTCTGGGAAGGGATTTTCCGCTCTACACGTTTGAGATGTGCTGGAAGCTTCCTGCCCCGGCCCTGCTGGGACAGCTGCTCGTTTTCTTTAACCCTTTCCTCTTACACCCTGTCCCGTGGTCCTGCTGGGGCTGACGGAGCACTTGCCGTGTCTCCCCAGCTCCGGGGCTTATGTGAGGAGACCATGACCACTGATGAGGCCACCAAGAGTGAAGGGGAGGTGCAGGCGGCGGCTCTCGCCGAGCGTGGGGAGGACATCACGCCGGCTCGAGACCGGGGGGTCCTGAAGGTAAGGGGGGCTGCCGGGAGGGGTCCTGCCCTTCCTGCTGTTTTGGGGTGTGTGGTTGCGTCGGTGGGCTGCATCCCCAACCCTTGGGGTCATGTCCTACTGCCAGGGTGGTGGGACTCATTTATTTTTTTTTTTAAGTTGAAAGGCCTAGAAGATGCTCAGGCAAAGGAGATGAGCATCTGCTTGGAATAAAGGAGGATGGGGCTGTGTTTGGGACTGATGAATGTCGCTGCTGTTGTGTTCCTAATCAGCCAATTAGCTGCAAATCTGCAAAGCATTAGAAAGAGCCCGTTACTCAGGGCACCCACTCTGCTCCAAAACCCCTTTTTTCATATTCGGGGCCGTTTCTGGATAGTTCCGCTCTCCAGCTCGCTCTTCTCCACTCAGTAGGACCTTTCCTCTAAGAATAGCATCCTCCCCCGTGCCATCCCCAGCCCCGGAACGGCTCGTTCCAGGCTGAGAAGGAAAAAAAAAAAAGAAAAAAGAAGTGTTGACAAGAAGCGAGTGGTGAAATGCCACACCCCAGCGGGCAAAAAACGTGCTGGGGTCGAGAGCGAGCGCGGTCGTGTTCACCTCGGGTGTTTATCCAGACACCTCCGCGAAGCACGGGCACATCCCAGCTCCCGGTCCCGCTCCGTCACCAGGGCTCCCGTTTGGGATTTGGTTTTAGGGGCTGACGGGAGGACAAATGGGATGGCTCCACCTCGAGCCTTCCCGTGGTTTAGAGCAGCACTGGGCTGTATATGCATGCAGATACAGATATTTTGCATACATATATTTCTGTGTGTATATGCATGTGTATATATATTTTTTTATGTATATGCACGTGTGTATATATTTTTACATATATGCATGTGTGTGTATATATATTTATGTACATGCTTGTGGGTATTTTCATCTATATGCACACATGTATATATTTTATGTATAAGCATGTTTGTATATTTTATGTATGTATTTTATGTATATACACACACATAGTGTAGTGGAGGGTTTCCCTGCCCATGGCAGGGGGGTTGGAACTAGATGATCTTTGAGGTCCCTTCCAACCCAAACCGTTCTATGATTCTATGTATATATTTTATGTATATACACACATGTATATGTTTTTTGATGTATTCATGCATGTGTGTATATATAAAAACGTGTGTGTGTGCATGTATATATCTGTCTCTCCATATCTGTTCCATGCCCATCCTTAGCTGTCCCTGGGCTCCCTTCTCACGAGTGGTTTTTTCTCTCTCTCAGATCATCAAACGACCCGGGAGCGAAGATGAGTCCCCCATGATCGGGGACAAGGTTTATGTCCACTACAAAGGCAAACTGGCCAACGGTAAAAAATTCGACTCCAGCCGCGATCGGAACGAGCCCTTCGTCTTCAGCCTGGGCAAGGGTGAGCCGGGCCGGGGGGGTGATCCCAGGGCGGCATGATCCTGGAGGTGGGACACTGTTGCAGGACACCTGGACAGTGCCACCCCTGCCCAAAGTGACTTCTGAGGGTGTTTTTTTTATTTTTGGGGCTGCCATTCTTGCAGCACCCACCTGGGTGGGTTTTTTTCGGGCTGCCAGTCGCTCCCTCCTGCCTGACATCCGCCTCTCTCCTAGGTCAGGTAATCAAGGCATGGGACATCGGGGTGGCTACCATGAAGAAGGGAGAGATCTGCTACTTGCTCTGCAAACCCGAGTACGCCTACGGCTCCGCCGCCGGCAGTGCCCCCAAAATCCCCTCCAACGCCACCCTCTTTTTCGAGGCAAGTAACGCTGGCACGGGGACCCGCTCGCTCCTCTTCTGCCTTGCCAGCCGGCTCGGAAAGAAAAAACAACCAAACCCAATAAAAAAATTAAAAAAAAAAAAAGGCAACCAGCTTGGATTCCTGAAACATGTCCCTCTGCTCCAGGAACTGCTGCCAGGGTTTTCTCAGAAATGTGGCTGAGCTGGGAGGTTGGGACTGAAACTCCGGCTGGGCAGAGCCCCGGGGCTGGGGACGGACTGGGAGCGGGGAGAACGGGCAGATTCCCGTTTAAAAACGCACATGGGAAGGAGGGAACGGCTGGGAAATGCCTCCAGGTGCTAAAAACTGATGAGTGCCATGGGGTGGGAGGCAGGACGAGGTTTTGGCACCAGGCTGGGCTCGTCGGGGAGGAATGGTCTGTCCTGAATTAAAGCTTAGTCCTTCCCAGTCGGACTGGGACTAAGCCGTGGGTCGGAGCTGGTCCTGTCGGAGAGCCAAGGGGAAACTCCTGCCCACTCCGGTCCGGGCACCTTTGGTGCTAAAAACTGATGAGTGCCATGGGGTGGGAGGCAGGACGAGGTTTTGGCACCAGGCTGGGCTCGTCGGGGAGGAATGGTCTGTCCTGAATTAAAGCTTAGTCCTTCCCAGTCGGACTGGGACTAAGCCGTGGGTCGGAGCTGGTCCTGTCGGAGAGCCAAGGGGAAACTCCTGCCCACTCCGGTCCGGGCACCTTTCATGGCATCTTCCAGCACCAGCCGTGTTGTTACCCTTAATAAACTTATTTTTACTGTTAACTTTGTGTTACGTTTCAGGTACTGGATGTGTCCCAGTTTCTAATAAATCGGGTGCTTTATGCTGTGGCTTGGAGCCGGCTTTTGTGGGCAACTTCTGCTCGTCAGCTGAACGGAGAGTGAGCTGGTTTGGCTCTCAGCGGACGATGGACTGCGGCTCTGTGGCTTTTCTGTTGTTTTTCTCCTCTCCTTCCTCCTTCCCCGAGCTCTACCCGCCTTTTCTTTATTATTTTTTAAATTTTTATTATTTTTTTTAAATTTTTTTTAAATTGTTTTTAGGTTGAGCTGCTTGACTTCAAAGGCGAGGACTTGTTTGAGGATGGAGGGATAATCCGGAGGATCAAGAGGAAGGGAGAAGGTTACTCCAACCCTAACGAAGGTGCTACGGTGGAAAGTGAGTGCCGGTCTCAATGTGGGGGGGGTGCTGGAGGGGTGACCCTGCCCCGTTTGCTTCTGCTTAGCAAGGAGAGTTATAGGTGGCCGTGCATCACGGTGGGATGCGCTTACATCCATCCGGAGGCTGGATGGGATGGAGAAGAGCTGGGAGAGCCGCGGTTCACCGCCCGCCCGGGGATGCTCCTCCGAGCTCTTCTTGGCACAACGCCGCCGGCGGCCCCTGCGGGGGGGCTTGCCCCAGG